CAGAAAAAAAAAAAAAAAAGCACAAAAGTGCAAAAACTGTGGCACTAAATATATCATAAAAAGGAAACATGTTTACACTAACAGATGAAAAGGCAGAGTGTGGCCTTGTTTGACCTCAACTGGAAAAGTTCCTATTGGGTGACTCAAATTTTTGCCTCTGAATGCCTGCCAATAAATAACTGACTGTGAAAGCACCACAAGTATAGATTCGGGGGTTACAAACAAATTTTAACTAGTAGGTGAATTTGCAAATATGGAATCTGTAAATGATGAGAACGATCAAGTGTACTAATGAGGACATCCTTTCTTTTTCTGCAGAATTCATTTGGCCAACTCCAATGTGCCCTTCAGGATTCAGCTCAAGATATATGAGAAGACTTGCTTGACTTCAGCCAGTCTGGGTTAGATACATACCTAAAAACTGCCCCCACGGTACGCTACTCACATGGACTGGCTTCTTACTGTTTATCAGGCTGTTTTACAACTATTTCCTTTTTATCTCCTCCATTTGACTGTAAGAGCCTTGAGGATGGGAATTCAAGGCCTAACTACATAAAAGCAGCTCAATAAACATTTTTGAATTAATGATCTTCAAAGAAGGGGAGGAGACTCCCTCTAATGGTTGAGAATGGGCCTGGGTATAAAATCAGAGGTTTCATAAATAACACAGAAAAGTACATGAGATTTTAACACTAATTTAAAGATTATTTTTCAATGCAAAATTTGATTTTAACTTACTTCAAACTAATGACTTTTTTTTAGGCTGCATTAACTTCAACTCATACTGTGATAAGGACAGTTCTTGTTAAGTGATAGAATACATCTTCTTGTTGTTTAAGCCACTTTGAATCATTTAAAAAAAAATTCTGCTGACTTCCGGTCAAGATGGTGGCGTAGGTAAACGCGGTATTGCGTCCTCCCACAACCACATCAAAGTTACAACTAAACTACAGAACAACCATCATTCAAAACCGCCTGAAATCAAGCTGAATGGAAGTCCTACAACTACGGAATTAAAGCAGCAGCCACATCCAGACTGGTAGGAGGGGCGGAGGCGAGAGGCCGGTGGCGAGACGGGCTGGTCCCACACCCACGTGCGGCAGATAAAAATCAGGAGGATACCTCGGCTGGGAAGGTCCTTCCTGAGGAGTGAGGGATCCCTGTCCCACACCAGGTGCCCCGCTCAGGGTTCCAGTGCCAGGAAGAGAAGTCCCCATAACTTCTGGCTGGAAAAACCAGCAGGAACTGAGGCTCAGGGAAGCTGAAGCGGCTGGAGCCCCAGGCAGCTCCTTAAAGGGCCGGCGCACGAACTTATAGGACTCACTCCCTCTAAGCTTGGAGGGGAGGCAGCTCCAGGGGCGCCAGAGACACACAGGGAAGAACTGAGCTGTTTGGCACTGGAGCAACGGCTGGAGAGGGGGCTTTCTCCGTGCTGTCAGAGGCCTTTCTTCCTTTGGTGAGCCCTTCCCTGGGGCGGCAGACAGCCCCCATATCTGGGACTCCAGCAACCTGGCTCACACTGGTAGCCCCGCCCTGGTGACTCCCTGAGGCCCCGCCCCACCCCACCCAACTTTCAGGCCCACCCAAGCTGTTGGCACTTGCTTAACCATAGGATTGGCCTGTCTTGGATCCTGCTTCAGGTTTTTCCTAAATTCTTTCAAACGAGCAGCATCTGGTCTCATCTAGCCCCACACCTCTCATTAAGTAATACACAGAAACAAACACCGGGAGGAAGCCAAAATGAGGAGACAAAGAAACAGGTTCCAAATGGAAGAACAGAACAAAACCCCAAGAAAAGAACTAAGCGAAATGGAGATAAGCAACCCAGCAGATGCTGAGTTCAAAATACTGCTTATAAGGATGCTCAATGAACTCAGTGAGGGCCTCAAGAGCATAAAAAAGGACCAGTCAGAAATTATGGATGCAGTCAGAATTGAAGGAGGCATTAACTGAAATAAAGAATAATTTACACAGCTTCAATAGTAGAGTACGTAAATCCAAGAAGCAAACCATAGATTTGGAATATAAGGAAGCAAAAAACGCCCAACCAGAACAGCAAAAAGAAAAAAGAATCCCAGAAAATGAGGATAGTGTAAGGAGCCTCTGGGACAACTTCAAGCGTGCCAACATTCGCATCTTGGGGGTGCCAGAAGGAGAAGAGCGAGAACAAGAAATCGAAAACCTGTTTGAAACAATAATGGCAGAAAACTTTCCTAACTTGGTGAAGGAAACAGACATACAAGTCCAGGAAGCACAGAGAGTCCCAAACAAGATCAACCCCAAGAGGCCCACACCAAGACACATCATCATCAAAATGCAAAAGGTTCAAGACAAAGAGAGAATCTTAAAAGCAGCAAGAGAAAGGCAGCTAGTTACCTACAAGGGAGTTCCCATAAGGCTGTCAGCTGATTTCTCAAAAGAAACTTTGCAGGCCAGAAGGGAGTGGCAAGAAATATTTAGAGTGATGAAAAGCAAGAACCTGCAACCAAGATTACTCTATCCTGCAAAGCTGTCATTTAGAATCAATGGCCATATAAAGAGTTTCCCAGACAAGAAAAAGTTAAAGGAGTTCGTCACCACCAAACTGTTATTACATGAAATGACGAAGAGTCTTTTTGAAGAAAAAGATAAAATATATGAACAAACAAAATGGCAATGAATACATATCTATCAACAATGGAATCTACAAACAAAATGAACAGGCAGAACAGAAACATTCTCATAGATACAGAGAACATTTTGTTGGTTGCCAGATGGGATGGGGGTTGGGGGAATGGGTGAAAAAGGTGAAGAGATTAAGAAGTACAAATTCATTGCTAAACTGACAAACTCAAAGGGAAAGCGGTTGGGGGGGGTGGGAAGAAATAAACCAAAGAACTTATATGTATAACCAATGGACACAGACAATAGTGTGGGAAAAGGCGGGAGGGGAGCAGGAATGGGGAGGAAGGGGTCAATGGGGGGAAAATGTGGAACATCTGTAATACATTTTACATTCAACAATAAAGATTAAAAAAAAAAAAATTCTGCCACTAAAAGCATCTTAATTGTCAGAATTACCCTTAGATATAGAAACATCGTTAAATATTAATTTTATTTTTATAGCCATTTTGGTTGAGGACAAATGCCTCTCCATCAGAGATGAGTAACAGTTTTAGAAAATCACTCAGAGAATGATGAGCTCCCTTTGGACCAACATAAAGCTCCATGTTATTATTATCACCGGTCCTTCTGTGCCCATGCCAGCAGAGAATTTCTCTGCCTCAGGTTGGTCTCATCAGTCAGTCCCATTATCTAACTGAAGATCTACTGAAGCTAATGTGGAAAGGGTTTCAGTTCAATCTCCCCTAGTTTTATATATGAAGCCCTAGGACTGAAGTAAACTTTCCCGTATACCTTTCTTCCCTGGTACTTTTGCATTAAAAATAACAGCCACGACAAGAATAAAATAATTTCGTTTCTAGATTCTGAATTAGAGAGAACTGAGAACTCAAAATGTGTAGCAAAGGTGTGAAAACCCATGTGTCCTCTCACACCAAGTACAAAGCTCTCTTTTGACTCTTCTCACATGCTGATTTACAAGGAGATGGGAAATAGCTGACGTTGCCTGTTCTTCATCCTGAAAGATCTCATCCTCACTCAGAACTGTAAACTCCATGACTATCTAAATGGAATCTCTGGTTTGCCCCAGTGAGAGATGCTAATTATCTTGCAGTGCTTCACTGTGGTCCATTTTCACCTGATGTAACTCTGGCCAAACTGCCTATTTGCTCTGTGAATACAAGGCCACAGTTTATCCTATTCTTTTTGCAAAAAAAGAGTGAATACTTGCTTTTTCCTAAATTCTAAGAGTCCAGGGTTAAATGAGAATGACTAAATACTGCAACTGATTAAGTATTTCACAAATGATTTTTAAAAATGAAATAGAACAGAATAGAAAATAAAATATCATAAGGCATCATAATATTAAGGGTAGCTAATGTTTTCAGAAACTTTTGTTTCAGTTACATATATGTATATATGTGTTTAGTGGATAACAATGTAAAACATTTCTTTTTGTGGGTTCCAGGCAAAAGTTTTAAATCTGCGGCCCCAGGTCATTGATCTCTGGTCTTAACTGAGGAACTGCCCCACTCCTGCACTACTGCTGAAAGGGGGTGACTGGGGGTGTTGCTTCGGAAATATGTGTAAGCCCTTTATACTAGCACAGTGCTCCTTGCCACTGGCTGATTAACTTTGTGACTTCATTCTGAAGAAGACAATACCCTCTTAACCCCAACAAGGATGGCATATCTATTTTTAAGCACTTTGCACATGTATCATTCATTTGGTGCTTGAGCTTTCTTTTCAATGCACACTTTTCCTAATTAAACTAAAAACTGAGGATAGTGGCTATCGTTACCCAGTGGCAATTATATATATACAAGATGCTTGATCAAAATTCTCTTAAGGACTGGAAAAGCTTCTCCTCTAGGGTGGCTTGCCTGGACAGAGTATTTAACGAGCTCTGCCATGTCCACCAATGCTATGGTAGAATAACTATTGTTAACTGTGGATGGTTTCCAGATTGGTTTTAGTATAGTGTATAGCACTATACCTCAAGACTATGTCTATAAGTCTGTAAGGTCTATTAAACAAAATAAGCTCTCATTATCTAATAAAAATAGGTTATCTTTTTTCTTGGGGGGTTGGATGACACTCTTTAAAAAAACTGATACCTACACTGCTCCTTAGGAAAGCGGACTCAAAAACTTCCAGCTCCCTCTAAACTGCTCTAGTTTGTAAAACTATGCTTTTCAAAAAGGGTTAATCATTTAATTATTTGGTAAATGCATAACTATTACCTGTTTGGCCTAAATTTAATGTGTTGGTATCATAGTGTGCAAAAATCATTTCAAAAAGTAAAACAATTTGGAGTTCCCTATACCTACAAATTCAGACCAAAAAAACAAAACTAAATTTTCATAGCTTACACAGAAATAAAATCACACTTTTGTTACCTGCTTATTCATTTCTGTGATGTTTATCCAGACCTTGTTCAATCCCAACTCTCCAAATTCAATCTTCTCAAGTTGTTTTTGTTTGCTGAGTAGTTCTTCATTAAGTTTGGGAATTTCTTGGAATGAATTTTTCTGATTAGATTCCACTAAAAGCAAAAATAAGAACAATCATAAACAGCCATAAAGTTACCTCATTGCTCCAAGATTTAAAAAATTATCATACAGTAGAAAAGAAGCCAGATTAACAAAAGTTAACTCGGAGGATAATGACTAAATTTATATCTATCAACTACATGTTCTTTTATTTATGTAAATGTATATCTTTAATACTGAAGCTCCCTTTTAACTGGGCTATTCACTACTGGCAATACAACTTTTAAAAGTCAGATGGTTAAAAATGATAATGATGAATATCAGCAATTAGAGGTGGACTTGGCCCGGCTGGTGTGGTTCAGTGGTTGAGCGTCAACCCATGTAACAAGAGGTCATCAGTTTGACTCCCAGTCTGAGCACATGCCCCAGTTATGGGCCTGATGCCCAGTGGGGGGCATGTAGGAGGTGGCCAATCGATGTTCTCTCTCACTGATATCTTTATCTCTCTCCCTCTCCCTTCCTCTCTCTCTAAAATAAAAAAAGTAAATAAAGAAAAATTATTTTTAAAAAAGGCTTGGATGTGAATCTCAACTCTGTAACTTACTGTGATTTTGAGAAAATTACTCAACTTTTCTGAGTTCAGTTTCTTCATCCATAATACAGAGATAAAATATACTTTACAAGATTTTTAGAATCAAATGAAAGAGTGGCTGTACAATACTGAACAGCGGGCTAGGCATATGGTAAGTGATAAATGTTAAATATTGACCACTTTTACTCCATTAATGCTCCAGGCAACATGACAAGTTATATCTCCTAGTGCAAAAGTCTACTTTTTTCTATTTCAAATTGGTCAAATGCAAGGTGGGTTCTTACTCCCTTTTAAGTACTGTTATGAGGACAAAGTTTTAAATCTTTTTCATAAATAGGAGAGGGTTTCCTGAAATCCACCCAAAAGTTCAAAGCAAAAGAAGATAAAGGAACATGTTAAACGAAGTATAGGGTGATATTTGGTCTTTCCTTTGGGTAACTATATCTCCTGAATGGTTTAGAGATTTGCCAGCCTGAAGGCAGAAGCTTGCACAAGTGCTTTCTCTTCTTACTTTAAAGAGTATTTTTCCTGCCCTGCCCGGTGTTGTTAAGTGGTTAGAGCGTCAGCCCACACACCAAATGGCTGTAGGTTCGATTCCCAGTCAAGGGTATGTACCTGGGTTGCAGGTTCCATCTTTAGCACTTGGGGGAAACAATCAATTGATGTATCTCTCACCTCGATCTTTCTTTCTTTCCTCTCTCCTCTCTCTCACTTTCTCCCTTGCCCCTTTCCCTTCCATTCTTCCTGAAAAAAATATCCCTGGGCAAAGATTAACAACAACAAAAAAGAGTATTTTCATGGAAAAGATTGATAATGGCTGGTCCTCTAGTATAAAACCTACATCATTTTTTTTAAAGCACAGAGCACTGGATTAGTTATTATATGCTTTCTTCAGAACCAAAAACTGGCACATAGGACAGACATAAGACAACTTTCTAAAATGTAAGTGCCAAGACTTTTTTGTTCATTTCTGCATGGTCAGCACTTAGAATATACTCAGCACATCTTAAGCACTCAGTAAGTGTTACTGAATAAATCTGGCCTTTGCTTACCTCTCACCCACGTTTCCCATCGCTTTACCTACCTCTTCAATCTTTCTAGCCAAGCAGATTTTCCTGACACACCAACCTCTTAAAAAACCTTACTGACCCTGCATACTCTATTCTTTCTGCCTAGATGCTCTTAGCTTGCCCCTTCTTCATTTCTGCCACCCTAGCCTAGTTAATTCCTTTCAGTATTCAGCACAAGTAGCAGCACCTCTACCTTGGACCACTGCCACCTCTTTACCACTCTTAACTCTACCAAGCACTTAACACACTGTGCTGTAGCTATATCCTTGTCTGTCTCCTCCACAGACTGATAGACAGATGCAAGAGGATGGGGACCAAATCTTATTTGTTATGTATTCCCAGGGCCCACTATAGTGCCGGGTATACAGAAGAACTCAAATGATTGTCCAGTGACATAATCATAGGGTATGAAATGGAGATAATGTTAGCCTATTAAGTCAAACAAAGAAAACTCAACAAACAAACAAACAAACTCAATGACTAAAAATCATAAAAGGGCCCTGGCCAGTTTGGCTCAGCCGTTGGGAGTGTCAGCCTATGGACCAGAGTCCCAGGTTCGGTTCCCGCTAAGGGCACATACCTCGGTTGCAGTTTGTCCCCGTCCCGGTTGGAGTTGTGTGGGTGGCAGCCAGTCGATGTGTCTCACGTCAATGTTTCTCTCTCTCTTCTCCCCTCTGTCCCTCCCACTCTATCTGAAGATAAATGCAAAAATGTCCTCGGGTGAGGATAAAAAAAATCATAAAAGGACAACCATTAAAGAGGATAAACTGGAGGTAGTGGGGGGCAAGTGATATGGTAGTATCCCTGCTACAACAAAGCTCACTACCTGAAAATTCAGAATTATTAAAAGAAATTAGATATTTTTATTCATCTTCCAAAAATATGCACCAAAGAATTTCTTTATAATTAGGCTTCCCTAGGTATTTTTAATGTAACTTTTGATTTACACATGGTTTGTAGGACTACATTCAGCTCATACAGTAAGAACATTTTACCAGTCTAAATTAATGAAACAGCCCTGGCCGGTTTGGCTCAGCAGTTAGAGCCTTGGCCTTCGGTCTGGAGAGACGTGGGTTCAGTTCCCGTTAAGGGCATGTACCTCGGTTGCAGTTTGTCCCCGGCCCTGGTTGGGTCGTGTGGGAGGCAGCCACTTGATGTGTCCCTTTCACGTCGATGTTTCTCTGTCTCTTCCTCTCCCTCCCTCCCTCCCTCCCACTCTATCTGAACAAAAATAAATAAATAAATAAATTAAACACAGCATTTCAGTGAATTTCTTTTACATTTTCAGGGCAGTTGCAAAGTAACTAATCCCACACATGTCTGCCATTCTCAGGTGGTCAAACATCCCCAGAGTGTGTGCATATGTGTGTATGAAAAGGGGGCAGTCTCTCTCTTTCCTGCAATCTATACAAATTAAGTGGAAGGTAGAAATGGAAGAGGAAGGCAAACACATAAATAATTTGGGTTACAATTATTAACTAGTAAACATAAAGATGATAAGCCCTGAAAACACTCTGGATCCTGAGGATTGTATGAGCCAAGAAGGGATCATATTCACTTTCTGATTTGGGGCCTTTTATTTTTTATTTATTTATTTTTTATCCTCACCCGAGGACATTTTTCCATTTTTTGTTCAGGTAGAGTGGGAGGGAGAGAGAGGAACAGAGAGAGAGAGAGAGAAACATCGATGTGAAAGGAACACATCGAGTGGCTGCCACCCGCACAACCGACCAGGGCTGGGGACAAACTGCAACCGAGGTACATGCCCTTAGCGGGAACCGAACCCGGGTCTCTCAGGACCGCAGGCCGACGCTCTAACCGCTGAGCCAAACCGGCCAGGGCTGATTTGGGGCCTTTTAGGAGAGACAAGCCAAATCAAGGTACTCTGACTACAGTGGCGCAAACAACGTATGATTCCTTATTCATGTTTTTTCAACATGGAAAGCAACTCATTTAAAATTTAGTATGTTAATACTCAAACTTATTTAGCTCTTTTCCTGATCTTGAAGATCGGGAAATGGAGATTTCTGCATACACCCTTCAGACACAATATATAAAGCTGATAACAATATTTTGTAAGTCTTTATAGTTTTCAATAAACTTTTATGTAACTATTAAACTTGTTATTGAGTCCTTACCATGTGCCCAAACTTGCACTCAATACTGGTGCAAAAAAAGACCCTGAAGCTCTCACTTTAGCAGGGAGCAAGGCACTGTCACAGAGTTACTATACGATGTGACAGATGCTATGACAGAGGAATGCCCAAGGTGCTTTGGTAGCACAAATACATCTTCATGTTTTATGGCTGGGAAAGTGAAGGCTCAAAAAGAATGTGACTTGTCCAAGTTTTACAGCTAGTAATAAGCAAGCCAGAATTCAAGTCAAACCTTTTGCTCCTAGAACCAGCACTCTTTCTAGTACACTTTAGCTACTGTAAACCCTTACATCCTAATACCATCATTAGCACAAGACCATTTTTAGGCTCTGTACTAAATGACCACACTGCTACTCTGTCTGTATGACCAAAAAGGAGATGCTTAATTCATTAATGATTTTTCTTTTCCAAATCTCTTCTATCACTTTAGTGTTTCATAGTTGAATGACAAAGAAGGAGGGTTGGAAATAGAATCTTTCTTTGAATAACTGTGGAGGTCTTTTGGAGTACCTGGTTCTGGAAAAAGAATACTGAGCTAAGAGTTTCAAGGCCAGCCAGTATTTTTAGCTTAAGGATCAAGTTACTCCTTGAACATGAGGTAAAAATACCAGCCTCTCTGCTTTGCTTTCTTTCTTTCTTTTTTTTTGGAGGGGTAAGGGGGGTAGTATTTAGAGTTCATTGTTAATCTTTTTTTTTTTTGCAATTTTATTATTTTTTTTGGTACGTGCCCCTAGCGGGAACCGAACCCGGGACTCTGGTCCGCAAGCTGACGCTCCAACCGCTGAGCCAACCTGGCCAGGGCTTTTGCAATTTTTATTAATTCATTTTTGTCTGCTTTGTTTTCTAATTCAGGAACCCTACCTCCTTTCCACACAAATGTCTTGGAAAATTTATTGAAATAAAAAACAATGACTGAATTTTTCAAAAAAGTATTAAAGCCAGAACAACAGATGGTCTTATTTGAGTCAGTGACTTCCACTGTCCTCCTGAAAAACAAGAAGTAAAAATTAACTTGTTGAAATATACTTAAAGCAAAAGCATAATTCAAAGAAAGATTTTTTAAAGCTTTATAAGATTGACCTCATTTAGTCAAGGTAATGGTTTTCACAAAAAAACTCTTGGGCAAGTGATCCACAATGGTTCAGCCCATGGACTGACACTATGCCCCAGGCCACATCCCCTATTCTTTAAGAAGTCCCGCTTAGACATTCCAGGTGCTAGCATGTTTATTGTAGCAAATCAAAGCCAACAAAGTAGTTGAACTGACAATTCTAAATCTGCTTCATTCAGCTGGATGACAAATGTAGTCAGGGTCTCAGGGGAATGGTGCTCAATTATACAAATCGGGTCTCATAGTTCAGGGTACAATTCCTAGAATCTCCTGAATACAGTGTTTCCAGGAATTGGAATTAACAAGAGCTCAATACATTCACTGAAAAGCTAAAGTATAAATTACATGGGTGTCCTGTAAACACAGGCACAGAGGAGTCAGAGAAAGGAATCCAAGAGGTAGAATTGAGCAATGTTTTGAAATGTATAAATAAATAATTGCTACATGTGATCAAAACAAGCTGTAGCACAAACCTAGGAAGCCCAACTAATTAAGGAGAGATGATGGCATAGATGGGTGTCTTCTGTGGTTATTTACAGGTAAACACTGTTTCTGAGAACCCCATTTCCAAGTTATGACCACTATTTACAAAGAAAACACTTGCCTTAGAAGCACCTTGCAATACTGCCAAGGACAACCATTAAGGAGGGACAATAACTAGAACACAAATTTCATTCTTTCTTATACTATACTGTGATCCCACCAGTTGATAAAACATTTAGGTCAGGATGATTCTAGAAGAGAATGACTTACCCAAGCCCATTCCCTGAATCAGAAATTCAGAAGAAAACCAAAGTTAGTATTTAGGCTTTTTTTCAAGCAACATCACTAGGAATCATCAACACACTAAGGATTAGCTGTTCCTAGATCGGGTTCAGAACTTGAATAACTGCAGGCAGCAGAGAAGCTGGAGTGAAGGAAAACTAGGATGTTGTGATTTCCTAAGGTTTAAGATGCAAAGTAAGAAAACAACTCTAATTCCAGTTCTGATGACCTTGAGAAAGCCTGGTGGTCAGTTTCCTGGTGTGCTAACACTGCTAAGGTTATGAAATTTATGATGAACTTGGAACTGGTTTCTTAGCTTAGAAAATTAACCCTGAAACCGATGATCTGTGTTGGTAAAGGAAGATAATTTAAGTTAAATCTGGTAGATGCTATCAAGCAAACACATCTTTTAGAAAAAGTACTTTGGATATGCAAAATACAACATCATAATTTAGTATATATAAAACTCCTTAACTTTAGAAAATATCTTAAACTTTATTATTTTTTAAAAAATTTTTTATCCTCACCCGAGGACATTTTTGCGTTTATCTTCAGATAGAGTGGGAGGAAGAGAGGGAGGGAAGAGAGAGAGAGAGAAACATCGATGTGAGAGACACAATGACTGGTTGCCACCCACACGACCCCAACCAGGGCTGGGGACAAACTGCAACCGAGGTAGGTGCCCTTAGCAGCAACTGAACCCATGACTCTCTGGTCTGCAGGCCGATGCTCCAACTGCTAAGCCAAACTGGCCAGGGCAATATCTTAAACTTAAAACTCACCCAGGAGACAAATATTTATTTGTGACCTGGCACCCAGTAAGCACCTCATGAATGCTGGCTATTATTACTGCCCATTACTATGTTCTTATATATATGTATTTTTTTATTAATTTATTTTTGTTACGGATGTTTCTCCTTCCCCCCACAGACACCCTCCTCCCTATCCCGCTCCCCACCAAGCATTGCTGTCTATGTCCACTGGTTACGCACACATGCACATAAGTTCTTTGGTTTATCTCAGCCCTCTCCTCTGAGGTATGTAAAGTTTTTTGACAGATTCCCATATTCTTTCTCAAATGATCTTGTGAGGAAGAAGGAAATAGCCCAGTATACTGGTAAAGTATAAAGTGGCAACAGCTGGAGGTCAACCAAGGTTCTAGACTCCTGGACCTTAGCGCTTCCCTTCTGTGCCCTAAGTGTTGACTACAATGGCATTTTTTAGATGCTATTTGTCTTGACAGTGCATAAGCACTGTTTTTTGTTGTATGATTAAAACAAATAACTGTTACTATATTCAAGCTGACAGCTAAGAAAGAGTATTAAAATGCTGAACAAATATATAATGTATAATTGCTTTATCAGTGGGCAAAACTCTTAATTCAGCACAGTCCACTTTGTCCTACATTCTGGAAAAGAATCCAAGGATAAACTCTGAAATATGCGACCACTTACTTGTTCTAAATTTTTCCTTGAGGGCATCCAGATCCTCCTTCAGAGCAACTTGCATCCACACCAAGCCAACGCAGGCCACGACACAGGCGGCAAGGATGACAAAAGCACAGAGGGGATAACAGATCTTGCAGCATCGTAAATAGTCTCCCCTGATCACAAGAACAAATTCAACCAGGAGTGCATAAGTGATTATGAGCACAGCTTTATTCGAAATAGCATACATGTGTTGCTATGAAATTATCTTTTTAAACGAATAACCAGTTGATTTACCAGAGAATACAGAGTAACACAGTTAATCTGAATAGCAAATTGAAAATAACTAAGTACTATAACCTATTAAGAGTTCACCTATTCAGAACAGAAGTTTCAAACTTCACATAAAAGAGAGAGACTTCCTGTGGGCCACAGGAAGCACCTGTGGGAACTATAGCTCACTGCCAACACCATCAATTCAGGTCTTTGGAAACAATCTCAGGTTAGGAAAGCATCAAGACCAGAGCTTCTCTGCAATTCCATCACTGCACTGTAATTTACCTGTCTGTCTCTGTCAAATACATGCTCACTCCAGGGACCCTGTTTTAGTTTATTGGAACTTCATAAACTTTTGAGCAAGTTTTATTGCAAATGGAATGAAAGAAATAGGAACTGTAGGTTTAAGTGGACACCTGCTACACTCTAGCTTATTGGCTCAGAAGAAGGGAAACATAGAAAGGGGTTAGATTTCACACCAAACTTCAACAAACACTCAAGGTCTAAACTAACCCAACAGTGTAACTATTTCAGTTGAGCTATTCCATTTCATCAGATCTTCACAACCCAAACCTAGGATAGTCCTTAACTACCTAGTCTGGCAAAGCTCATTAGAAGCCAAATCCTTCTCTTTAACAAAATAGAAGGATAAAGACACGCCAAACAAACAAACAAACAAACAAACAGACCTCAAACAAAGGATTCAATCTCTTTTAGCACCCAACCTTCTGCCTAGCCTTTGCTTTCACATCCTTGGCAGAATACTCCTTTCTTTTAATGTACTAATGTACTCTCTCAGAGGGTCCACGGCACTTTCCAGGTTCCCTTCAGTCCTTTCCCAACCCCAAGTCCTAATTACCAAAGTCCTCAATGCTCACTACTGGATATGTCTAGTGGCTGCACCATCTAAAAGTGGTTTGGGAAAAAGCTGCCTCTTCTTTTTTTCCTCCATGCTCCATTACTCTCAAGGCTTATACCTTCTACAGTATGTCCTTTACCATATTCTCCCATCACCAAGATTCAGACTCATCAAGAGGGCAAAAAATAAGTAATTTTGCAGTCTTAAGTTTCCTGTCTCTCTCACACTAAAAAAAAGGCTACTTCTTGCCCGGCTGGTGTGGCTCAGTGGTTGAGAGTCGACCCATGCACCAAGAGGTCGCCGGTTCGATTAACGGTCAGGGCATTAAAAAAAAAAAAAAAGGCTACTTCCAAAAGCTTTTCTGCTCTTATGTTCCTATTCTTAGCTTCTTTGCTACTCCCAACTTGGTCTCTCTGGGTTCTTGGCACATTCCCCACGTCCACACTTCCACCCTAGATTCAGAGCTCTTTTTTGCACATTTAGAGACAGATCTCTAACTTACCCTTCATTCAGAACCTGAACTCATTTTTTTCCCTAACAATTTTTCTCCCTCTTTGACTTCCAAGGACTGCACCCCTTTCTGTTCCTAAGAACACCTTCTCCTCTTCAATTTGCCCCCTTGGTAGTGCAAGATGTCTTTCCCCCAACCCACCCCTCACCATTGCATCACTCACTTGACAAACCGGGAGCTATTTCCAACTACACCGAATTCCTCTTCCTCCTCGGAGCTGGACTCTGAGTCTGAGTCAGGAGGCTCAGTGCGAAGAAGGCGGTGGCCTGAGCCTTTCTTGGGCTTCTTTCTCCGGCTGTCCCCAGACAAGCCAATCAATGCATTGAGCTCTTTGCGCTTTTTCATCTTCTTGTGTGGGGTGAGTGGAGCACCCACTCCAGAGCTTCCTGGTTCGTATCCGATGCCCAATTCTCTTGCTACCTTGGAGCTGCCTTCCAGGATGGGAGTTCCTGGGCCAGAGCCCCCTGGTCACTCCCACCCAGGGGTGGGACTGACCAGATCCGCTGGGAGTTGGAGATTGGAGCCCAGAGGAAACTGGAACTCAGATTGGTGGGGGAAGTCACATAGATATGGCCAGGGAGCTGGTGATCCAATTGAATAAGGTGCTGGGCATGAAGTGTCAGTTCAGAGGTGTTAAGGAGACAACTTCTGTCTCCCAAAGGGGGTTAAAAAGCCAAGTCAAGAACGAGCAACTCTCACCCCTGATAAGCAGATATTTCTAAGGGTGCCCCAGGAGCTGCAGAAGGACACACAGATGGGTGTTTGGACTTCCAGGACAGGATTTCCAATGGAGAGGGAAACGAAACTTGTTCTTGAATGGGAGGAGAGAGAGAAGCGCAGAACGAGACAGTGGGGACACGTCAGTCCCTCCTTCGCTGGAGAAGTGGCAGCAGGAGGGGGCTCCCAGTTGCTACAACCAAGACACAGCCTGGGCGACAACAAAATGCCCGGGTCGTGGGTGCTCTCTGTCCTGAGTTTGAAGGAAGCCCCAAATCGAGGAAGACTCTGGGCCCGGCTCCGAGGGCTCGGCCTGAGAGGGGCCAGTCCAGCGCCTGGGGAGACCCCAGCCCTGCTCTCTGGGCCTGGGGGGCAGGTGCGGAGGGGCGACCTCCCGCCCAGAGTTTGAGGTGTTCCGGCACTGGCGACTCACACGCTCTTTCTCCACTCCGGCCACGACTCCGGCCCCCGATCTGGCTGCGGCCGCGGCTGTTCCCGATGTGCTGGTGGCGGCGGAGGCGGCCGTGGGTTCCAGCCCCCCGCCATCGCTATAGCCCCAGCTCACTTCCTTTTTGGCAGCAACCGCCCGCGCCGCCTGCCAGTAAACCGCGTTCCCATTGGCCGCCCGCATGGTGACGTCACACCCTGGGACGCTAGAAGCGGCTGGGAGGCGGGGCGTTAAAGGGCCCTGGGCCCCGGCGAGGGCTGGGGCTGGCTCGCAGGTTGGGAAGGCCCCGCCCCCAGAGGGGCGTGCCGCTCACCTGAGCTCGCGGAGAGTTTTGTTTCCTGAGAGGCCGGCTTGGGGTCAGCCAAAACACTTAGCTGTTCGACTTGCTTGTAAAGTTCATCAGCTGTCCAGGCCCTAGTTGTGAACTGAACTTACTCAGCCTAGGTGCTCCGCCTCTCTGACTCGCAGGCTGTTTATTAAAAGTTTACGTGTGTTGCAGATTCATGATCTGGTTGAACACAGTCATTCATTCCATAAATGTTTGAGAGCTTACCACCTGTCAGAAGCAAAGAGCAAAATAACAACTGTCTCTGCCTTCCTGGGTAGGGATACCACATTTAGCAAATAAAAACAAAAACAGGACACCCAGTAAAGTTTGAATTTCAGCTAAACAACGAGTAGTTTTTAGCGTAAGTATATTCCATGCAGGTCTAGGGACATCTTCATACAGAAAATTTAGTTTTTTATTTGAAATTCAAATTTAACTAGGTGTCCTTTTTTTTATCTGTCAATTCTATTCCTGCAGTTTATATTCTACAGGGAGGAGAGCAACAACAGACACACATATTAAATGTTAGGAGGTGATAAGTGTTATGAAAAAAAATGGAAACATAAGGAGATGGGGAATGCCTGTGATAAGGGGACATTTGGTTAGAGACTGGGAGGAAGCCAGGCAGTGAGTTATGCAATGGCCAGGAGGAAGGAGTAACCTGTACGACCTGGTGTGACTGGACCTGAAGAGCAAAGAGGAGAGAGATGGGAAATGAGGTCAGACACGCATCAGGGGCTAGATTGTGAGGGGCCTTATGGACCGAGGTGAGGATTTGGGGAAGTCATTGGAGCTTTAATACGAGAGAGGCATACTTTGGCTTATATTTTGAAAAGCTCACTCTGGCTACTGTGTGGAAAAGAGAAATGGGAGAAAGGGAGGAACAAAGGAAGCCAGAAAACCAATCCAGATAGAGATGATGACAGACTGGAGTGGCAGTAATGGAGATGGTGAGCATCTGGATGCTTCTTGAAGGTAGAGTTAATAATATTTACTGATGGATTGGATGAAAGGTGTGAATGAAAAAGGATTAATGGAAGACTCCAGAGTTTTGGGGTGGAACAACTGGAAGAAGGGACTTGCCACTGATTGAGATGGTGAAGAGCAGATGTGAGGCAAGCTTAAGAAACCAGTTAAGTATTCAAATTGCTTGTTTGGTATATCCATTTGGAGTTTGGGGGAGAGGTTGAGGCCTGAAATACAAATCTGAGAGTCATCAGATATAGATGGTATTTAAAGCAAAGTGCTTTGAGCTACTTGGAAGAAAGTCACTTAAAATAATTTTTATTGTGGCAATTACAGTGTTATTCTTATTATGGCAACTGTACTGTCTTTGTTCAGGGAGACACACCCAAAGCTGAGGCCTGCCTCTTATTTGTCTTTCTGTTCTAGCCCAGAGGCAGGCATTTTGTAACAGATCCAAGGAATATGTGATACTTACATAAGTGGGCAGAGTTGTACAGAAGTATGAGTGGAGTTGGAATCAAGAGATTTGGGATTAGCCCTGGCCGGTTTGGCTCAGCGATTAGAGCGTCAGCCTGCAGTCCAGAGAGACCCGGGTTCGGTTCCCGCTAAGGGCATGTACCTTGGTTGCAGTTTGTCCCCGGCCCTGGTTGGTCGTGCGGGAGGCAGCCACTCGATGTGTCCCTTTCACGTCGATGTTTCCCTCTCTCTCTCTCCCTCTCACTCTAAAAAAAAAAAAAAAAAAAGAGATTTGGGATTAAATCATGCTTCTAATACTATCTCTGTCAGCATGGATGCCATTTAAACTCTTTGATCTTCAGTTTTTCCCCTCTGAAAAATGGGGATAACATCTATTTCATAGGACAGACAAATGAGAAGATGCCTGTGAAAGTGCTTTTGAAGCCCCGAGTCACAGTGCAGTTATTGCTTTTATTGTCTCCTTATCACAGAGCCCCATACAGTAGCCAGTAGCTATGTACAATTTAAATTTACATGTAGCTTAATCAGCATTACATAAAAAGTTTAAATTAATAAAATGTATTGGCTACTGTGCTAAAACGGGAATTGGGGGCTGAGAAACCCCCAGGAGTGAGGCAGGGCCACAGATGCATCACCCAACTGCACTGACTTCCAGTCAGCCAGACCCTGCCCTCTCTGCAGGTGGAGGCCTCCCCAAGGACTGGCCAGTGGGCTGGTCATGGGTGGGGAGTCTGGAGGAGTGGAGAGGTAAGGGGATGGATGGTTCTGCTTCCGTCTGTCTGCCTGTTTGTCTAGGGATCTATAGATAACACCCCTCCTATGTTAGGTAAACATCCCATAGGATGATGAGTCACCCTTTGAAAGCTGCTGGCCACCTCTTAGCACCTCTCTGGTCTCCTTCCTCAGACTTGGAACCCTAAAGACCAGAGATTTAGCCACTCCTCTCTGAGAGAGGGTTCCTGCACTGAAAAGCCCAGGTGTCCTCCCACACCAGGACTTCCCAAGGTTGTAACCCATCTTTTAATTTGGGGATATTCATTTTATGACCTTGTATCTGTAGAACCCTGTTACCCTTTCAAAACTTGCCTGATATACAGTGTGAACATGGGTAAGTCACTTTGCAGTTCCAGTACTTCAACTTTCCTGTCTGTAAAATGGGAATAAGAATATTCCTTGCCCTGCCCTGACCAGTTTGGCTCAGCAGTTAGAGCATTAGCCCTCAGACTGAAGAGTCGAGGGTTCGATTCTGGTCAAGGGCACGTACCTTGGTTGCGGTTCGGTCCCCGGCCTTGGTCGGGGTCGTGTGGAAGGCAGCCAATTAATGTGTCTTTCTCATGTCATGTTTCTTTCTCTCTCTCTCCCACTCTATCTGAAGATAAATGGAAAAATAGCCTCGGGTGAGAATTTTAAAAAAATAAGAGAATATTCCTTCTGTTCAGTGCGTTTGGGGGAGGAAGTAGCATGAGAGTGCATCATATATGATAAAATGTCATGGAGGATGGGTGATGTCTGCTGAATCCTTCTAGCAGTGCTGTGGGGAAAGTGGGCAGAGATGGCTCCTTCATGCTCAAAATCCCATACTGTGTAAGTGGCAACGCCAAATCTTGAGACCTCAGAAGACTCCACAGAGCACTTTCTTTCTTTTTATTTATTTATTTTTCTGTTTTATTTATTTATTTTTAATTTTTTTCTTTATTGATTTTAGAGAGAGAAGAAGGGAGAGGGAGAGAGAGATAGACATATCAATGAGAGAGAACATCGATTGTCTCCTGCATGCCTCCCACTGGGGATCAGGCTCACATCCTGGACATGTGCCCTGACTGGAAATCGAACCCGTGACCTCTTGGTGCATGGGTCGAAGCTCAGCCACTGAGCGACACCGGCTGGGCTTATTTATTTATTTTTATTGTTGAAAATATTATAGATGTCCCCCCTTTCCCCATTGACCCCCTCCTTCCTGCTCCCACCCCCCAAACAAAGAGCACTTTCACTTGGGACAACTGAGGCACACAGTAGGGGCAAACCTGCTCAGGGTCATAGTTAGAAATCAGTTCCAGGGCTCCTACTTCCTGGGCTGAAGTTCTTTAAGATCTCAGAGTCCTCTTTCCCCTGAGATCTAAGGGCATGTCTGAACTCTGCCGCTGGCAGCTGTGAGATCTTGGCCAATTACTGAGCCTCTCTGGACCTCAGTTTCCACTTTGTAAAATGGTGGTAATAATAGTACCCAGGACTGGCTACATAATTTGTGGGGTCCAGTGCAAATGAAAATGCAAGACCCTTTGTTAATTGCGGGAAAAAAAAATATGTTCCTTTCTTTTGTTATTTCTTGCTCAACCTGTCATGCTGTTTATTATTCACTAATGAATGTTATGCTCCCTTGGGCATGGAGAAAATCACAGGGGCTTGGGACCCTGCCTCTGACTTGGCATGCACCCCAAGTTGACTCTCCCTGCACCCAGGCTCCTGCCTGGGACAGAAGAAGGACAGGGGAACAGGCAGCTGAGAACCCATTTTGGGGAAAGGAAGATGGGGAGATGATGAGAGGTAGGACTACGTGTGAGTTTAGACTACAGGTCCCCAATATAGGCTCCATTATTCCATCAAACTTCATTTACAAAACACAAATTTAAAAATAAAATGATTAAGAATTTCAAGATGGCAACCACAGAACATTACATCCCTATTGTTGGGCACCCTTCTGGGGGTGTGGGGTGTGCTCTGTGCAACTGCACTGGTCACACACCCACGAAACTAGCTCTGATAATACCTAGCTCATGGTGTAGCTGGGAAGAAGTTATGTGTCTGACTCATAGTAAGTGCTCAATAAATGTTAGCTGTTCTATTAATGTGATTCATTATGAAATGTGACTTAGTAAATGTGATTTTGATGATATATCTTTATTTACCTAATAGATAAAGCTGCTTTAATCTACTCTAAGAACTCTCTTTGCCATCATCTTTTTGGTGTTTTGCTCTGGTTAAAGATAGGGGAAGGAACAGAAATAAACATTTAAAAAGACATAGGTATCAAGCATTTTGGTGTTGATCCTTACTGCGATAAGCTAATCTTCACTAGGCAAGCATTTTATCCCTGCTCTAACTGAGGAGGAAATTGATGCTGAGATTGCAAGAGGCCCAGGAACACACAGGACATCAATGGCAGATACTAGGGCTTGAATTGGGATCTGTGTGCCTCTGAAGCCTGAGTTCTGCACCCAGTGCCCCATGCCATGCTGACCGCCGTGCTGAAGGAGCCTGCTGTCTGGGGCCTTTGTCTGCAGCTGAGGCGTCTTCCTTCTCCC